CTAAATTTTAATTTGCTAGGATCAGTATTAGGTGGTGCTTTCTTTTTGACAAAAATTACTGGAAAACTGTAACTCGATGTCGATGGCTCTATAATACCTGCTTCTAACAATTTGGCTATCTCCTCTTGGGCATATTTTTTAGCAATGCGAGGAATAGTGTATGGTCTAGTTTGAATTGGAAAGTTATGTAATAAATTAAATTGTGGCACGACAGCATCAGTCTCACCCAGAGTGGTGTAAGATTTTGAAAACACAGCTGAATTTTTCATGAGCATTTCAATCATCTTATTTTTTTGTTCTGCTTCTAAATGACTTAAATCAAAATCATCTGGGCTTAATTCCTCCTTTCTTAATTTTTTAATTTCTTTTAAAGTTATATGGTTAATCTGCAAATTTTGTTGCTCTCTAGGTTTTTCAAATTGTTTTTCTTCGACTTTATATACCTTACCAATCTTTTCACCCTTTCTTAGAATAATTGTGGAATTGGAATTGTTTTCAATTATGGTGAATATATATTGCCTGTCACTTATCTCATGAATTGAATCAGTCACACCCATCTTGCCCATTTTTCGCCTGTCTGGTGAGAACATTATTTGCTTTTCTTTCTGCATATTAATTGGAATGCTTAACTTTACTATCTCTGCTGTATTTGGCGCAATTCTGGTATTCAATACTACTCTTACAATACCCGACTCCTCTGGTCTACTATTCTTGTCTACCTTTTTTGCATTAATATTAGTACAAGTTTTTTCTTTTGTCCAAAAGATCAAAATATGTGTTATCAATGATTAACTGACTTTTATCTGCATCTATAAGTATCTTATTTTTTTGAATGAAATCATACCCTAAAATCATTTGATAATTTGTGTTCCAATTATGTTGTGTAACAAAAAATTGGTTGGCAAGCCATTTATTTCCTAAACGAAATTTTAAGTTTACAGCAGATACATATGGGATAGTAGCATTATTTAGCGTATGTATTCTTACAGATCTGCTTAAGTAATGAATCTTTGTGTAATTTTTTATTACTTGCAAGGTGTCTGGCTGTATTAAGCTTAAATTTGCACCTGTATCAAGTAATGCTTCTACCACAAAGTCGCCAAATTTGATTTCTATTACTGGTAATTCTGTGATACTATTAGTCTGGCAAGAAGCTACCAATTTTTGTTCATTACTTTCTTTAATTTTGTGTCGGAATCTTTCATGTGTATTTGGCCTATTTGAGTTCCTTATTTTCTTTAATTTTGTCTTGTTTCCCCCCCAAATTTTTTTATGGGCACTTGAGTAATACTTTGTGTATCTGGGAGATCTGCAAGTACCCTTCATTAGTTTAAATTATTTGTACGAATATTGTATCTTCTGTATTGTGGCCTATTTCTATTACTGTTCTGTAGTCTATTACCTCGCGTGAAAGCATACTGACTATTATATCTATTCCTTCTATTGATAAAGTTACCCCTATAAAAATTTCTTCTGTGGTTGTTTCTAGCCTGTCTATAATATTGAAAATTATTGTTTGAAGGAAAATAAGGACACTCTGTAGTCCAATGATTCTGTTGGCAAATATGACAAGACTCTCTATTACTACTACTTTGTGTAGCATTATTTTCTAGGCTAGTTACATTGTTTACACTACCATTAGGTAAAATTTCATTGAATTTTTTTGACAAATCCTCAATGGCTCTATTATTTTGCATTTGTTGCATAATTAATGTATTTAATTCAGGTGAAAAATCATGTGTCTGTGAGCTATTACCAGAATCCTCCAATGCTTTTTCTATGTTCTTTGCCTGTTTAACAGCAGTAGCAAAATCAATAGGTCCTAGTTTTTTAACCTCCAGTCTTAAATCTGGTCTGAGAGCTTCTAAGAATTTTGAAAGCATTGCTTTTTGAGTGAGGTTATGTACCTCTTCACTCGAACTAGGATAGCACCCAAAATATTTTGTGGCATAAGTATTCACTTTTTCCGCTAAGTCCTCGACTGACTGATTTGGGGTCTGTCTAATTGAGTTAAAGCTGTTTTGAATTGTGTCAAATGAATGAAATTTTGCAAATTTTTTTACTTAGTAATGCTTTTAAATCATCAAATGACATATCTTTACACGATTCATTATCAATTACAAATTTTAATGCTTTACCCCTCAATTGAATTTTTAACACCAAACTTTTTCTGTTCTCATTCCAGTTCTCTAAATTTGCCATTTGGCATAACTGATCTAAAAAAAAACGTTATATTTTCGTCATGCTCCCCTGAAAAAGTAGGCAGAGCAGTAGCCAGACTCATATTCATTACATTATTTTTCTTAGCCATTCTGAATCAATTTACTATACTTTAGTACCACTCTAAATTACTATTATTATTACTTCTAATGTATAGTACATTCATAAATACACTATTGTAACTTATCGAAATTTTTCACATGGATACAAGTTATTACATACTCATTACCACACAATATGATATACATTCAGGAATAATTTCTTAAATACTGACCAATTTTGAATTGATATTACCATTTTCACATATCTATTTTTTATCATTAAATTATTTCACATTAGCAGGAAACAGTCATATGGAATTCTATATATATATATATATTTTTTTACATATGCAATTTTCAACTTTTTCTTAATGATTCATATCAGATAAACACAAAATTCAAAATTTTATCCAATCATTACTAATATTCACCTATTTGATATCAGACATCATCACAAATTCAAAATATTTAAGCAATTATCAAACTGGAATCACATGTGTAGTTATATTTTCAGGCATAAGCATAAAATGGTTCTCTACCTGAAATGAAACAGTTAAAACTTAATTTCTCATTTTTTTTTTTTTTTTTTTTTTTTTTTTTGTCACGGCACCATAATGTGCCTTTATTATTATAATCCTGGTCACGGCACCATAAATGTGGTGTTACGGGCGTGATCGCTAAAAGTGTCGATACTAAGAATATCAAGTACAAATTAATTTTGCGTAAATACTTAAACTAAAATTTGGTGTTTAGTACATTGCTTAATCATTACTAAATAGATTAACAAGACTTACCCACTGATGCATGCATGAGCCGAATATTTTCTTTTCCAATCTCATATTTATTTCAATACACATACTTTCTGGATTAAATAAGACACATTTATCACACACATATACATACTAAAATATCATAACTTAGATACTCGCAATGCGATAACTCAAATGGAATGTCCGTGGAGTGCCGACGCGTGACTATTCGCGCAATCCTGTTCCATCGAATAATTTTGCGGTTGAAACGTTGATCAATTTATCTTCGTATTATCGCGCTGTCTGGTTACACACTTATAAGCTCTTCTTTTTTTCCTTTTTATTCATATTATTTTTACACACGTCATCACGTTACACATGCTGGCAATTGAGAAAGTGTGACTACATCGATTCTTGTATCGTTATCACGCGCGAGCACGTGCGTCGAAAGGTATAAAAATGGAAGGACTGGTTTGTCTCTCTTTTTCGTTTTTTCCCCTCTTGCTGCCTGACGTCGGCTTAGCGAGTGTGTGGGACTTCGGGCCACACACACTCAGCAGTCGCCATTTGTTCCTGTCTAATTTTGCCGAGAAAGAAGCAGAATGAAAGAAGCAGAATTAAGAGATGTAATATCTAAAGTAGAAATGCTTTGGTTTGAGACTCACTAAGTCCGGCTGACCGTGAATAACATAGTAAATAAACGTGCTCAAGCAGACTATCAAGTAACGGTGTTCGACTTCAAGATGTGCTTGACCAGCAGATGTGTCACCACGTGATGATAATTGTGTAAAAATAATACGTGAATAAAAAAGTGAAAAAAGAAGAGCTTATGAAGTGTGTAACCAGACCGCGCGATAATACGAAGAATTAATATTGACCCAAAATTTCAACCACAAATATTATTCGATGCGAGACAGGATTGCACGAATAGTCACGCTTTCGGCACGCCAACGAGACATTCCATTTTAAGTTAATCACATTGCGTGTATCTAAGTTGTGATATTTTAGTATTTTATATGTGTGTGATAAATATGTCCTTATTTAATCCAGAAAGTATGTGTTTGATAAAATAAATGTGAGATTGGAAAAAGAAAATATTCGGCTCATGCATGCATCAGTGGGTAAGTCTTGTTAATCTATTTAGTAATGATTATGCAATGTACTAAACACCAAATTTTAGTTTAAGTATTTACGCAAAATCAATTTGTACTTGATATTCTTAGTATCGACACTTTTGGCGATCACGCCCGTAACACCACACCATGATATTTTGTACCATGACATTTTCACCTTGCATTGTTTTCTCTGTGAAGTTTTAGCTGCGATATTTTCAATTGTTAACCGGATCATTCCGTGGGGTGATGTTTCAGATGCCAGTTACATGCAGGTATGAGAAAAGCATCGCCTTATTTGTTTATTCTCCAGTTCAATCAGCATTTACATTTTGAATATGTACACTGGTACTAGCTTGAAATGAGAATGTTAGAAGCTAGTTAGTGTGTTGATATTTAGAATTAGAGATATTAAAATCAAAAATAGAATTTAGACAGAACAACTTAAATAATGTTTCTAGATCTTCCAAAGCATAAATTGTGGCACAAGTTAACAGTTACCTCTAAACAGCCGTGAAAATCATGACTTGTATATTCATAACGTAAGAGATCATTCGTTATTCAAGGTACTTTTTGTTCAGATAATTTGTTCTTGAACCAAACTGCTTGTGACGAGAAATGTTTGTAATCCAAGGTTCTGCTGTATGAGTATACATATATATAATCTGAAAACTCATATATAAAATGAAATAGCAATTCCTTTGAGTTTAGATTAGCCTAAGGTGTAATGATCAATTAATCTGATTGCTTGTATTATTAATTTTAAAACAAATTTCAAGTATCATCAAAGTAAAAATCATAAAGTGGGCATTAGATACAATAATTTAAAAAAGTGTGGATGAAGCCTTAAAGTGATTAAAATGAAATGATATACTTACGTCTTCATCCACTGCAAATTCTCCACAGTTTTCACAAAGCTCCATTTGGGAGTTTATTAATAATTCAGGTGTTTAGTCATTCATACAAACTGTAATTGAAGACCTGAAAAGGAAAGTTTCATATTTACAAAAATTCAGTATATTTATGTAATGAATTTTAAACTACATATGACAAATTTGAACATTTAAAATAAATATTAAATATAGCATAAATTTATGTGAATTAAGAAAAAACATTTACAAAGATAAAACTAGCTATGTAAGCCTGAAAGTTTGCAAAACATCTTTTTGATAACACTTTTAAAATTTTTACCAAGGTTACTATTCTGCCATATTTTATGCAGTAGATTATCCAAATAACGTGACTGGACTGCATTATCTTCTTTGGTGTCATATCCCTGTAGAAATATAAGGTGAGATGTGTGGTCTTATACAGGTAAAAGCGTTGTTATTACAACTTTGAGAGGATCATGATTTGATAAAGAGAATGGAGGAGTGTAGTACTAAAATATATATGTAATAATAAAATTCCATAGTCAAGAATACACTTAAAATTCTGACTGTATGTTCTTTTCATTTTTAATGGTGATGTTCTCTTATTTGAAAGTACGTGGAATTAAATCCACAGCCCCGTAGTCAATTGTTTTTCCCGCCTTTTCTACACGTACAGTTTTAGAATGTTCTGGAAATATTTAAAGCGAACTGGATTGGTTGACGAGGCTGACGTCATTTCTTGGAAGCTCCACCTTTCCAGGGGCTATAAAAAGACTCGGAAAAGGAATATCAGGGCTTTTTCTTAAATGTCACAATGCAGTAAACTTCATACAGAAAGTTATTAGTAAACAGAAAAGTTATTAGTAATTCTTTTTTTTACTCCGGATATCTGATTTTTGTAACTGCTATTTCTCCTGAACAATAATAAATGGATCCTGTTTTTTTAAACTTATCGTCTGATTATTTAAGCTACGACTAAAGCTGATACATCACATATATATTTCAAACTGTTGCTTAAAAATTCTGAAGTTCCTGCACAAATCCAGCGTGGGAATATGAACCATTTTCTCTGTTCTAATGTTAATGGATAATACTCGTATCTCTACTATGGATCGTTAACTGATAACACTCGTGTACTTATGTCAGTAAGCAGTGAAATATATACAGTGCTTACTGTTTTAACAGATGCAATAGGTAATTTATTTATCGGAAACCGGTTGATGAATGATATGGAATTGATATTGTGAATTCAGAAGACGGATGGTATAGATTTTTACATTAGTATTTCTTTTCATTTGTTTGATACAAAATAGCGACAAGTTATGTAAAAACAGAGACTTGGTGAAAATGTTCTTGGAAAATTGTTGGAGAGATAAGAGCCAAGGTTAAAACAATGAATATTACTGCATACTTTTGCCATACATCAGTTAGAGTGTGCTTCATCGAAAGGGCAAGTCAGAGTGCCTCATCAAGATTGCGGGTGAGTGTGCCTCGTCTAGAGTGCGAGTCAGTCCCTGCAGAGTCGATTGAGTTGACAGCCAGGCAGTGAGTGCTGAGTGGGTCGTCGAAGAAGTCGCCGAAAGAGTCTCTTAGTGTATCGCGGTTAGTGCATCGTCAAGAGAGGGTGTTAAGGTCCGGGAACGACGGAACCCAAGAGTCGAGAACGATTAAGCAGAGTTGGGAGCTGTACTCCAGTGCTTTGCCGTGAAGCTGTCTCCACCGTGATAACCTGAAGGCTGTGTCACTGAATATGTCAGCGTGTTTATAACACTTCGACGACTGTAAAAGTGATTTTGGAGCTATCTGATAATTATTGGTAATTAAAGTATGTTTTGATACTTCATCAAGTGTCGTTATTCACTCCTAATCTATGAACCCCGTACGAACGTGAAGGAAGAAAATAGCGTAACAACTAGTGTCAGAAGTGGAATCCCCCTCCAGATTCATTCCGACCAAGGCAGGAACTTCACTTTGCCGTGAAGCTGTCTGTGTTCAAGGGACTCTGCGACTTGTTGGAAATCAAGAAAACGCAGATGACCTAGTTACATCTGCAGTCTGATGGCATGGTGGAGAGGTTTAAACTTACAATCCTGAACCACCTCTCGCTCATGGTTTCCAAAAACCAAGAAGACTGGGATCGCAAGCTGCCCCTGTTCCTGCTTGCTTAGTGCCATCCACGAAAGCACAGGCTATTCTCCCTCACAGATGCTTTTCGGTCGCGATCTCCGTCTGCCAAGTGACCTGCTCTTCGGCCGCCCTCCGGATGTACATTCCTCACCTGAGGAGTACGTGCAAGACCTCTAGGCCCGGTTGGAAATAGTACACAGGTTTGCTCGAGAGCGGATCAATATCTCGATAGACAGGATGAAGAAGAGATATGACCCAAGAGCCACCGAACATCAATTCCAGGAAAACGACAAGGTTTGGCTGTGGATTCCAAGTCGTCGTAAGGGCGTTTCTCCCACACTGCAGTCACATTGGGAGGCTCCCTATACGGTCCTCAACAGATTGAACGATGTTGTGATACGGGTCCGTAAATCCCCCAATTCAAAACCCAAGGTCATTCCATTCATAATGACAGATTAGCCCCATACTATGGCCTTAGTACTTAGTGCTTCTCATTCTTAGGGGTACCCATAATTCTTGTGCATAAGTTTTCTTACCTAGTTTCTGTGTAAAGTTTGTGTGTAGTGTAAATGTTTGTTTCTTTAGTTATGTTATCTGTATGTTTTAAAACGTTTCGATTGTATCGAATTTAGCTTCTGTCTAAGGGTTGTAGTGCCTGAAATGTGCAGTTCTTGGGAGGGGGCAGTATTACGAAATGTACAGGCACGGTGAGATAGCTTCCCAGCAAAGCAGTTTTAGGGTTGCCATAAAATGGCAAAGGAATGCAGGGTTGCCACATTTAACAACAAATTTGACGATCTACCATGGACGGATGGAGAACCTTCTGGAACGAACTCTTACCGGTTTAGCCCAGAATGTTCTCCAACGCAAGCCGAAAGCTATATAAACCCTGCTGGTGCACAGTCGGTGTGTCTGCTTTGTCTAGCGAGCTGATAGTCAGTCATTGAGTGAGAGTCTCAAAGTCTAGTGCCGAGTTGGTCTTCGAGTGCATTGAGAGAGTCTTTTAGTGCATCGTGAATTAGTGCATTGTCGAGTTTTGTCTTAGACTTGCCGAGTCGAGAGCTACACTCATGTGTTTCGTTGAGTGCATCCATTGCGGGGAGAATTTCAAGAGTATGTGGAGTTTCAAGAATGACCAAGCAGAGTTGGGAGCTGTACTTGGGTCCTTTGCAATGAAGCTGTCTTCACCGTTATTGCCCGACAGTGTGAAGGCTGTGTTGCTGAACGTGTCAGTGTGTTTATAACAGTTCGACAACTGTAAAAGTGATTTTGGAGCTATCTGATTAATATTGATAAATAAAGTGTGTTTTGATACTTCATCAAGTGTCGTCATTATTCACTCCAAATCTACCAACCCCATATGAACGTGAAGGAAGAAAATAACGTAACAATATATTTTTAAAATAAACAATGCGAATTCAAAAACCTCATCAAAAATGAATAATATAAGAACACATGGAAAAAGTAAAAATGCAGCATGGTGCTAATATATGATTACGGGGCAAAGTATAAGAACATGCAGCCGGTGCTAATATACAATCATATGGTGAGGTATACAAACACATAACCAGATTTTGACGAGATATCTCAGTTGACAGGCAATTTAACCTCGTGGGCTGCTATAACAAAGAAGTACCGATTAAGCATTACACAAAATATTTAGAAAATATTCATGAATAATAAAGCAATATTTAATGTGAATATATAACCCTTCTAGGCTAACATTCATTTGGGCTAAAAAAAATCTAAATAAAAAATATTTCAAATTTATTATGTTAGGCATAATTATATTTCTGAAAATAAAGCACTAGCCAAAGGAAAGCATGACACACTAATAACATTTTAGAAGCAGTTCCAGATAAGACACTGTACAGAAATGATTAAATTCACATGGGAACAAGCAAATTCATCAACAATGGATGCTTGCTCGCATCAACACTTGCATTAAGTCATGAACAATGTCAAAGGATTTCCATTGATTAAAAATGAAGCCAAAGAAATCATACAAACTGAAAAAGCAATAGGCAACAAAGGCTTTTCAAATATGAAGAAGAGAAATTAAAGAATTAGTCACAAATGATGATTGTGAAATGACAAATGAAGAGTTGGATGAGCTTATGGTGCAGATGATGAAAGCAGCGATGGCTGAGAAGATTAAACAGACTTTAATGTGTAAAAAGTTAAACTAATTGTTAAAAAAAGGCACAATAACTATGTGATTTTGCAATGCAGACCAACCCAAATACAGAAAGAAGAGACACTTTATGAGAAATATTGAAAAACTCTACAATTCTTACCGTGAAATGTTTAATAAGTTGTCCCAAGACAAATTACCAGCTATTTAAAATCATTGTTTCATGTACCTATTTATTAAGAAGTAATATAAATCCTTTCAATTAACATTTGTTCTACTTTTCATTTTTAACGACGATAATATTTAGGTTTGTATAAGTTATACATACTTTTATAATCTGAACCATGGAGGTTAGAATAGATGAAGTAAGCCTGACGTCACAAAAGTGAAGCCAAGGAAATGTCAGCAATGTGACATCACAACTTATCATGGCCAACACACAGCATATGAGTTAGGACTACAAAACATATTGTTAAAATTAAACTGACTTGGAAAGCAACTATCAATGTCTGCAGCCTCAGAAAAGTGTCTTAAGGCATAATTTGCATAAAATACCATTGAAATTTCCATTGATTTCCCAGGTTTTAAATTTTATACATTTGTGTTATAGTTACCATTTACACAATTTAATGTAACTAGATTTTATTAAATTCGAAACAGTTATTTGCTGCCCTTGTGATTTTTCTATATACTAAGTAGAAAATCTTTTAGTTCAAGTATTAAAATTAGAATGACAGACAAACATTCAGTGATGAATAGCTAACATGCAGATAACACTGATTAGAATGTAAACAAAAACAACCAGAAATCCACATATTGCAGCAGCCATGTTTTCACGGTTTCATTTTCATTGCACAGGACATATG